TTTAAAATTCAAACTTTTTCCCGTTTTGGATCGTAGCTTTTTGCAGTTTGTGAATATTTGACAGTACATTTTACCGTATACTGTCAAATCAAGGCTGCGTTGTTCTAAAGAAGCTTTGTTTTGTCCTCGTTCGGCTCTTCAGGCCACGGAAACAACGCGTTAATAAAGATTTCGACACGTCAGTCGTTCTACGTTTTTCTCGAAGCCTGCAGAGCTGAAAAGCCGAGCGTGTTTTTGTCTGCCTGCAGCTCTTGTCAGATTTAAAACGCACACGTGATGACGTGATTTGCCTTGAGCAGCTTGATGCACTAACAGGTTTGGTGTTTGAGGAAGGTGGTGTGTTGCCATTTGTTTGTTATAAGTAAATCCAACAGACTGGAAGGGTGTGGTGACAGTTAACTAAAGTAATCAATCCCTTTGCCACAGGCGCTTATTAATCCGTGTATCCCCATTAAGTCAAAATGCACAGGAATGGGAGCAAGCTGATGGATGGGTTTAAGGTTTGTGAAGCCAAAATTAATCATGGCTTTTAAAAAAAAAGTTATTTTGATTTCGTTGGTCTGAGATTGTGGAGCTGATTTTCCCCTCTGCAGTTCATTTCTAACTTTCGCTTCCTTCTGCTTTCTAGCCTGAACAGCTGGATTTGCATGGCGTTCCAGGTGTGCTATTATCAGTCTGCACGATTACTCTGTTGCACATCAGATCTGGTCACGCAACAGATTTTGACTTTAACACTTCCTGCCTGCACAGGAAGTGGACACGAAACGCTCACAAAACAGCCGATCTGAAATGAAAACGCTCCTTTTTCAAAAGCATCATTTACGGATTTCAAAGGATGGTTCAGAAGTGGTGATGGAGGTGGTGAACAGTTAATATCTTACCTGTTGTAGATAGGTCTTTGAAGGACTTTAGTTTGGAGGAATAGAGTTTTATGATGATCAGAGATAGTTTTATTACAGCTAGCAGTATTTCCTGAAACATACTGGTGAGGCAAAGACCCTGGAGGGGTTTTGTTTCATTAATGACACTTTTTTTCCTTTATTGTTTTATAACCGTGTCTGGAACAACATTTGACCATTGCTGCGAGCTTGGCGAGCCTTTAAAGTTATTTCTAAGACTGGCTCGGCTGCATCCTTCTTTATGTTTAGCAATAATATGTAAATGGCTGCCGCACGACGTTTCTTACATCTGTACACCTCCAAGCCGTATAACGCAGAAACAAGACCTTTCGATGAGTCTTGAATGTTTTGCTAGTTGTGGTAAAAAAAAATAATAATAAATTGGCAGGAAAATGGTAAATGAGAACGGCAGCACGGTGGCGCAACTGGTAGAGCTGCTGCCTCTCAGCGAGCAGGTCCTTGGTTCAAACCCCGGTCCAGGGGCCTTTCTGGGTGGAGTTCGCATGTTCTCTCCGTGCATGCGTGGGTTTTCTCCGGGTACTCCGGTTTCCTCCCACAGACCAAAAACATGCATGTTAGGCTGATTGGTAACTCTAAATTGTCCCTAGGTGTGAGTGAGAGAGTGAATGGTTGTTTGTCTCTATGTGGCCCTGTGATGGACTTGCGACCCGTCCAGGGTGTACCCCGCCCCTCGCACAGTGATTGCTGGACATGGGCACCAGCGACCCCCGTGACCCAAAATGGAACAAACGGGTAAAGATAATGGATGGATGGATGGATGGTAAATGAGAACAACAACAGGAATGTTAATATTTAGTTTTCTCATCATCATTAACAGTATCCAGGCTCAAGGTACATATATGGAGTAAGGATTGCGCAATCCGTGCAGTTTAACCAAATTAACGAGCTAACAGCTCGTCGGAGTGGATTGTTGCCATCTTTAAAAAAACTCCAGTCTCAACAATTTCAGACTGATTCATTCAAATTCTGTCAAACAATTCATTATTGCCTGAATGTTTATGAAGCATTCACTCTATTGTGAACCATTTTTCTTCCGTACGTTTTCATTTTATTTCAGTAAACCACAAATCAAAACATTCAGCTCTTCCAGGACAATCCTGCTATGACTTTTGGTATTGGTTCAACTTTAGCTTTTTGAAACATTTAGCCTTTTCTGCCACTTTTTTTTCCTCATAGAAAATGAATTTAGCTCATTTTACCTCCTTCAGATCTTTAGAGCTGTTTACAACCTTTTACTGCTCCTTTCACATTTTGTTCTGCTTCAGCTTCTTTCAGCTTCCTTCTGGAAATTTAAACTTTTTTCAGCAACTTTCAGCTGTTTGTTCGGATGTTTTGTGCTCCTTTCAGATTCTTTCTGCTAGCTACAACATGTTTGTGCTTCTTTTAATTTATTTCTGATCATTTAAGCTTATTATGCTCCTTTCAGCATATAGCTGCTTGTTTCAGCTTTTTCCTGCTATTTCAGCCACTATTTAACCATTTTATGCTAATTTTAGCCTTTTCGGATAATTTCAAATTTTTTGCGCTAATTTCAACATTTTTCAGTCTAATAAAGCAAAATTGTGCTCTCTCCACTTCCTTATTGTAAATTAAGCTACTTTATGCTTTTTGGCTACTTTTCAGCTGTTTTTTTCTCTCTCTCTAATTTCAGCATTTTCAGATAATTTTCACAGTTTTGTGCTCATTTCTGCTTCTTTCAGCCTAATTTGGCAAAAGTGTTTTTTCTGCTTTCTTCTGATAATTTAAGCTTGTTCTACTTTTTCAGCTACCGTTTTAACATATTTTAACTAATCTCAGCTGTTTTCAGATAACTTCAAGCTTTTTGTGGTAATTTCTGCTACTTCCAGCTTAATTAACTTATTTATGATTTCAGCTTGTTATGCTCCTTTCAGCTTAGTTATGCTAGTTTCAGCTTTTTTCAGATAATTTCCACTTTTTTGGGCTAATTTCTGCTTCTTTCAGAAACAGGTTTTTAAAATTGTCATTTGCATCACATGTGGTACATGTGGTGGAACAAGATTATGTACACAGGGTTTCATGTTACATCCAACAATAAAATGTAAAATAAAATCAGGAATAAGATCTAAGAAATGAACTAAGAAAAACATCAGCTAAAAATACACTTAAGCACTAATAACATAAAAACACTGAAAACAATACGCCGAACAGCAGCACGAACATGAGTCTGTGTGAGCAGATGAGCATACATGAACACATCAACATGAAACAGATGAGCAGCAACATGAAACAGATCAGCAGCAACATGAAACAGATCAGCAGCAACATGATGATTCTTCACAGTGATTATTCTGGTTAGAGATTCATGAGTCTAACAGCCTCAGGGTAGACGCTGTTCCTCAGTCTAGTGGTTCTACAATTAATGCTCCTCAACCTTCTGCCTGAGGGGAACAGGGCAAAAAGTGTGTGTGCTGGGTGAGTGGGGTCCTTCATGATGCAGGTGGCCCTCTTCCTGCATCTGGAGGTGTAGATGTCTGTGATGGTGGGGAGACTGACTCCAACATCTTCTGTGCAGCCTTCACCACTCTCTGCAGAGCTTTTTTTTTTTCTACAGCTGTGCAGCCTCCATGCCACATTGGCACAGGATGCTCTCCACTGCACACCTGTAGAAGGAGGTGAGGACTGAGCTTCCCAGACCAGCTCTTCTCAGCCGTCTGAGGAAGTAGAGTCTCTGATGAGCTTTCTAGATCAGGCTGTTGGTGTTGTTGCTCCAGCTGAGGTTGTTGTTCAGGTGCACACCCAAGTACTTGTAGCTGGAGACCACTTCCACCGCAGATCCTCTTATGTTCAGGGGGATATGTGTGTTTGTTCCTTCTGACGTCCACAATCATCTCCTTTGTCTTCTTCACATTGATGTGAAGGTTGTTCTCTTTGCACCAGCTCTCCAGTTGTTCCACCTCCTGCCTGTAGCTGGACTTGTCATTGTTTGTGATGCATCCCACCACCGCTGTGTCATCTGCAAACTTTACAATGTGACAGCCTGGATGTGTAGCTGCACAATCATACGTGAGCAGAGTAAACAGGAGGGGGCTCAGCACACATCCTTGAGGGGAGCCAGTACAGGGTTCAACCTAATTGGGCACAATTGCGCTCTCTCCACTTCCTTCTGGTAATTTAAGCTTATGCTTTATTAGCTACTATTCAGCTGTTTCTTGCAAATTTCTGCTTTTTTCAGACAATTTCCACTTTTTGTGGCCATCGCTGCTACTTTCGCCCAATTATTTCAGCTATAATTTCATCTTCTTGCTCCTTTTCAGTTTTCTGCTAGTTTCAGCTACTTTTTAGCTGTTTTGTGACAAGTTTAGATTTTTCAGCTAATTCTACATTTTTGGAGCTCATTTCAGATCCTTCCACTTCCTTCTGGTAAGCTTTGCCTTTCAGCTACTTTTCAGACATTTTTTGCTAATTTCATCCTTTTTAGCTAATTTCCTAATTGTTGTGCTAATTTCTGCTTATTGAAACCTAGTTCACCAAATATGTGTTATTTCTGCTTTCTTTGGCTAATTTAGGCTTGTTCTTACATTTCAGCATGGCTTTTAGCTAATTTCAGCTGTTTCTCAGCAAGTTCTTCTGCAATAAGCATTCACACTGCATTTTCTCAGGAAATGCATTTTTTTTTTAATTCTATATCAGAATTAAAATTAATTTCATTCAAAGAATTATCCCACTTTGGATTTACACATAACTATTTTCATAGTTATTGCAACACAAAGACAGACATTTATTGATTTCAGATCACCATTTATTTCAGCTTTTATCACCCACGTACTTCCATCAGCAAAGAACGTTTTCAAACAGAACTAAACGTGGCATTCGTAACCTTTTTTTAAAAGCAGCTAAAAATACCTGCGCATTTCCCATTCATACACACATCTATAAAAAATACTTTAATATATTACATTTAAATGAGCTACTTATTTTTCATTTAAACTACTTGGATGAGTCACAGCTTATTGTTTCCCGCGATGTCCACAAACAGACGGTGTTTAAACTGCAATAATGACACTTTACTGTTTAATTGGAAACCTAATATGTACAAACATTTGGGCTCGCGGTTCGTCTTCACTTCATGCCGTGCTGACTCTCGTGGTGCCGGCGGAGATCCACCTTTCGCTGGAAGCCCTTTGAGCAAATATCGCACCCAAACGGTTTGAAGCCCGTGTGCTTCCTGCTGTGGGTGATCAGGTTGGAGCTTTGGCTGAACGCTTTCCCGCAAACTTGGCATTTGTGAGGTTTTTCCCCTAAAGGAAGAAGGGAAAAATAAAAACTCACTTACAGTTACACATTTTAATTACCGTAGATTGTTGTTTTTGTTGCTGATGCCAAATGCAAGTTCCCATTAATATAAACAGCACCGGTTAATTTAATAATTTTTGCCATAAAATACCCAAGAATAACCCAAAGAATCATTTCATTGTTCAGATTTGTCAAACACATGCTGTCAACTAAACAAAACTTCCTTTTATAGGTGCGAAGCAAGAAAACCAGATATGCAAATCTGCAGGAAATTTGCTTGCGCTCCTTTTTCTGATTTATCAGCAGTTATATTGCTCCTGGAAACAATTCCTCCGTGCAGCACCTGGAAAGCAGGCGATAACGGCGCCGATCGGATCGCTACGTAAATCAAGAGAGTTACCCGTGTGAATGTACGTGTGCTTCTTCATGTCCGACTTCTGGTGGAACCGTTTCCCGCAGTACTGACAGGGGTACGGCCTCGTGTCGGAGTGGATGAGGAGGTGCGTGGAGAGCGTCGAGGAGCGCTTGAACGTTTTCCCACACATTTTGCACTCAAAGCTCTTTTCCTGGTTGAAGAGGAAGAACACGAAACGTCACACAAATGTTAGAAACGTGGAGTTTCCAAGTTAATGGGCAATTTCATATTTTATAAACTTTTTACGCTGCTGTGAACTGAGAATTATCAGTTATTTCTGCAAACAAAACATTTTATCATTCCTGCAGGAAGTGCCCCAGGCTGCTCAGGAAGTGTTGTGACATTTAAAAAAAAAAATGCAAATGTTAGATCAAGTCATTAAAAATAGGCTGGCTTAACAGAAATGTTTTATGCCGGACTTTAACAAACCTAAACTTAACATATTTATGTTGAGTCTAAACTTAGGAGGAAAGGTAATAAAACTTGTGTTTGGTTGATTATTTGTTTGTCATATGAATTCAATTCAAAAATACTTTATTAATCCCAAAGGGTCTTCCTGGTTTCATTGAGTTGTTCTAGATGCTGATGGCTGTGGGCAGGAAGGATCTCTTGTAGCAGTCTGTCCCACAACAGATCTGAAGAAACTGGTTGCAGATGCCAATCCGTCCACCCAGACCCAGCAGACCTCCAGGTCCTCTTGGGCAGCAGGACCACCCAAATGCCAGGCAGAACTCCTCCCTGAGCGATGGCCATTCAGCCTGCCTAGCCCCCTGTCGCCGCGAACAAAAGTGCAGGTGCCAGGGTATGATCTCAGTCCACCCGCTGTCACGAGCCATGTTTCCTGCCACCTCCAAGACCTCGGCGGTCAGGCACCTGAGCACCACCTCCAGGTAGACGGGAATGTATCCACGGCACCTCCTTTTCAACTCATTTGGGATTTGGGGCTGTAGTTGAATTTGAGCTTTTGAGATGTTAATCAGCAGCTCTCATTTGTAGAAAGCCACCTTGTTGCTATGGTTACGCATCATAACGAATGTCCAATTTCAGTAAAAATCCTTCCAGCTGCACAGCATCCAAAACCAGAGGAAATAACCGTCCGAAAAAAGTGATTTACATCCAGAAAAAAAGAGGTATTTATGTTTTCAAAAGCAATATATCAGAAAGAATATAAGAGAGCTACGCCAACATGCAGCCACCTTGAGCAGTGCAATTCTAGAACAATGCTTCTTGGCAATAGATCTCGTGCCCGGTTGACCCCCCACAGGGCAGGATGTATCAAAGACCACCTCCAGAGTTTGGGAGTGAAGAGGATAGAATGTCCCGTCTGTCGTCCTGACTCAAAAAAAAGCCGGCTAAAGAATGAGACGTCATCCCACAGAAGTGTGTGGCCAAGCAGGTGAGCAGCATGAGGAGGTGGTGCCAGGCTGTTGTGGCTGTGTATGGTTCTTCCACATGCTACTGATACCCCCATTTGTTTAATAAATAAATAGTTAAATTGCCAATAGGTGTGGGTTCTTCAGACTTCAATCAACCAATTCAATAAACACTGAAAAGCTGTTTGGCAGAGAATGCTCATTTTCCATAACGCACAAGTTGAATCTTGCAGTTGGTGAAGCTGTTCCCTTTCAGTGAGAAGGTTGCTGGTTCAAATCCCGGCTGGGGGCATTTCTGTGTGGAGTTTGGTCCCACAGACCAAACACATGCATGTTAGGCTGATTGGTAACTCTAAATTGTCCCTAGGTGTGAGTGAGCGAGTGAATGGTCGTCTCTGTGAAGGACTGGAGACATGTCCAGGGTGTCCCCCGCCTCTTGCAGAGTAACTGCTGGATATGAGCACCAGTGACCCCCGCGACCCGAAAAGGAAGAAGTGGATAAAAGATAATGGATGGATTTTCAATAACAAATGTGACAACATTTAAAAAAGAAAGAGCACGTTATCCAACAGTTCTGTTTTCACAGCACGTTATAGATGATGGGGTTGTAACAACAGAATAGGATACAATAGTACTTTTATGTACTATTACTACAGTAGAACTAACTATTGATAACTGTTTGACAGAACATCACTTCAAAAATGACCAGACTATCCTTTTAACGTGTCAGAACAAGAATGCAGCTTAAAGCTGCGTGGCTAAAGTGCAGCCTTTAAAAAATATGGCCGACCATCAAAAGTGTCAAATTCTGCAGCAGAACCTGAACCAGACAGAATGACTCTCTGAACCAGAACATTCATACATTACTTGACAGACCTGAGAGTGGACGTTCATGTGCTGCTCCAGGCTGACCGCGTGGCCGAAGGTTTTCCTGCAGATGCTGCAGCCGAACGGTCTCATCCCGCTGTGGGACCTCCTGACGTGGACCTCCAGCCCGTGGGGCGTCGAGAACACCTGAAGAGTAGTCAGAGCGTCAGCACGGGCGTCTCCTTCTGCACTGAGAACAAACGGAACCAACGGCGCACCTTGTCGCAGGTGATGCAGTGGTAGGTGTTGGAGGTGGGGGAGTAGTGCGTGCTGCAGTCCAGAGGCTGCTCCAGCGGGGGGCTGCGGCTGATGTGGGGGCCGTACAGACTGCTGGCGTGCTGCAGCACCGTGGGGCTGAAGCTCAGCTGACGGAGGTCGTAGGAGGAAGGCAGCGGCTCCCAGGCGTACGTCGGCTTGTAGTAAGGTGGATACTCGGCCACGTGAGGCTCTGCACGGAGCAAATTAACTCGTTTCAGTTGAACAAAAGAGTTTTAACCTTCAAGTAAAACAGCCACCTTTTGGTGCCTGAACACGTAAATCTTCTGTGAAGACCGTTTGAACTGGAGCGAGACAAATCTGTCCTGCACCGAACGTCAACTTTCACAGATTTCTCTACGGTGCAGGAGTGAAGCGCGGCGACGAGGATTCAAGATGGCCGCCGAAGCTAATCGACTTTAACAAAAACAAGATGGCTCTAACTCTGTTGGTTTTACAGATTAAAGTTGGTGTGGTGAGTCATCCTCATCGCACGCGCCGAGATAAAATGTCACGTGATGGTTTGTTTTTACAAACTTTGGTCAATGTCTGTTAGCAAAATATTTAATGAGCTACTGGACACATCGTAATACAAATGACAGAAACAAATGGATGTACATCTACAACAGATCTCCTTTCAGAGTCAACTTGATTCAAGATGGCCACCAAACCTAATCATCTTTGGCTTTTTGTTACTTTTAGACTTTACCTAGTTTTTTGTTTCTTTACATATTTTTATATTTTGGCTAATATTTAGCTGCTTTTAGCTCACAGTTTGCTTTGTTCAGCTTTTATCTAGATTTTTGCTATTGTTAGCTTTTTGCTCATTTAGCTTATAGCTAGTCTTTTGTTGCATTTAGTTATCCTTTTGCTACTTTTAGCTAGCCATAAGATCCTTTTAGATTTACTTAGCATTTGACTATATTTAGCTTTTAGCTAGGTTTTTGTTACTTTCACAATGGTTTGGTACTTTAACATCTAATTAACATTTTACTGATTTAGCTAGTGCTTAACTTTTAACTAACGTTTTGCTACTTTTAGCACTAACATATTGCTGTTCTTTGCTAATGTTACTTTTAGCTAGCCTTTTGCTACATTTAGCAAGCATTTAGCTACTTTTTGATATTTTTCAACTTTTAGCTTTCATCTAGCATTTTTGCTACATTTAGCAAAACTTTTGCTAGTTTTTGATAGCATTAGCTACTTTTTGATATTTTAGCCTTCAGCTAGCATTTTTGCTACATTTAGCAAGTCTTTTGCTAATTTTTGATAGCATTTATACGATACTTTTTAATAATAGTTCTATTTGTAGCTTCCAGCTAAACTTTAGCTGTTTTTATTTTATGTATTTTTATTATTTTTATTTATTAATTTAGCTAATTTTGCTAGTTTTGCTAGCATTTAGCCACCTTTTGATAGTTTTTCTATTTTGGGGTTCCAGCTAGAATTTTTGCTACATTTAGCAAATATTTTGCTAGTTTGTGATAGCATTTAGCTGTTGTTTGATAGTTTTTCCTATTTTTAGCTTCCAGCTAGCACTTTTGCTACATTTACCAAACCTTTTGCTACATTTATCTGTAGTGATATCCTTTTACCTTTAGCTACATTTAGCTAGTCTTTCGCTAGTTTTAGCTTTTAAATAGAATTTTTCTACTTCTAATAATGACATAATATTTTGCTGCTTTTATTTTGTGCAACCTGCCCATAAAAAAAATAAAAAATCTGTTTAAAATCTTGCCTTCAAGAGTCAACATTCTCTGTCTGTTAGCAAAATATCTCAAGAACCACTGACAGAATTTTCACGAGACTCTTTAGTCAACAACATTTGGATGAACATCTACAGCCAATTCACTTTTGGTGTCAACCTGATTCAAGATGGCTGCCAAAGCTAATCAGACTTAGCCAACACAAAAGCTAAAATTTAGTGTGGTGGTAGCTGAGAGTCATCCCGAACACTCTAATGGCGGAGCTTTGACTCACCGGACAGGTAGTATGGCTGTGTGGGGACCACAGGTGGTTTGGTTGTCTCTGGGTGGACAGGTAGGGGACACTGAAGCCCCGCCCCCTCTAGTCCATGCTCAGGTGAGCAGGGGTCTGCAGGGGGAGGCCCCCCCTCTGAGCCAGGCCTGTCTGATGAGGCCTGCGATGGAACTGCAACAAATCAGAGAGGGAGCGAACAGCTTAGAAAAACAGGGAAGATGTGTGTTAGCAAAATATTCCTTAAACTGCTGCGGTTTAATTTTAATAACTCCAGAAAATTCGATCATTATTTACAAAGTTGGAGCAAAAAAATTATTTAAAAAAATGGCAGAGCTCGTTCAGCATTTTAGTTGATTTTTTTTAGCAACAAACTTAATTTTAATGCAAAAATAAAACGTCAAATATTTAAATCAGCTGTGAAATCTGCGCGTGGACCGTCCCTTCATCAGGACAAAATGACGGAGTCTCACCGCGCGTGGAGGCCTCCGGCTCCTCCAGCTCCTCCGGCTCCTCCGGCTCCTCCTGGCTCCTGTGGACGTTGTAGGAAGAGGAGCGCTTGTTTTTCACCAGGAATGAGCGCGGCATGACGGTCCTGCTGCAAATACTGCGCGTCAACGCGCGCATTGCATGCGCACAAACAGTTATTTAATGTTTACTCGCCTTTAACATTTATTTACCATTTAAAGAGGATCCGGGTCAACTCTGCGCACATTTAAACTCAATGTTTTATTTATTTCTCATTGTTGTAAGCATATAAAACTGTAATAATAATAATAATAATAATAATAATAATTAGGTCGTTTTAGAATAATAATAAGAAGAATCTCCTCACCGGTGAGTTCCCACGGAGACAAACTTTGATGTTTTTATGGATAATAATAAAAATGGTTTCCTTGTGAGGAGAAAATCCGTTCCTAAAAGTTGGGAAAGCTCAGCAGCTGTAAAAGCATCAGAGTCCTGCTCGCAGCTTTTCTCCCCTCCCTGATTTTCAATCAGATAATTCAGCAGCAGATTCTGACTCTGCTTTCAGCCAATCAGCGCGCGGAGCCGCAGGTGGACATTTGAATATTAAAAACACAGAAGAACAGTTACACAAAGTTCGTCTGAGGCAGCAGAGCTCAGAAATGTTTGGATTTATTTATGCTGCTGCTGCCTCACTCCTCTCCGTTTGTATTTATGTTCCTGCACGATTTTTATGATCAACTTCTGCAGACTTTGTGCTGCTTTAGCTGTTCTTATAAACATTCAGCTCATTCAGCTGTGACTTTTCTTTGCAACCTTTTATTCTTTATTCTGTTCTTCTCTTCTAAATACACTTCAGCAAACTTATTTTTTCTTACAGTTCTGCTACTTTTATAGCTTTTTGCTATACTTTTAGCTTTTAGCTAGTCTTCTCTACTTTTGCATTTCCTTTTGGGTTTTCTTATTTTAGCTTTAAGCTCATCTTTTGCCATATTCACATTTTTGTTTGAATTTTGCTACTTTTAGCTTATTACGTTTAGCTTTTAGTTAGCCCTTTGCTGCTTTCAGCTCATCTTTTGCTACTTTTGAATTTTTTTTGGATATCTCTTCTTTTACCTTTTAGCTAGTCTTTTGCCATATTCACATTTTTGTAAGCTTTTTGCTACTTTTAGCTTGCTATTTTCTACTTTTTGCTTTTAGTTAACCTTTTGCTTCTTTTAGCTAGTCTTTTCCTACTTTTGCATATCCTTTAGGTTGTTCTTATTTTAACTTTTAGCTTGTCTTTTGCCATATTCACATTTTTGTTAGCTTTTTGCTACTTTTACCTTGCCTTTTTCACTAATCATTTTCTGCTTTTAGCTAGCCTTTTGCTGCTTTTAGCTATCGTCTGATTTTACT